ACAGGTTGGGGAAGAAAAGAGCCCACTATTGCATATTTAAGATCTTCCTTTGTAAAGTGAAGCCCTTCCACCCACCCTGGGACTAGAAGCATCTCTTCCCTTGCTCCCCATTGCCTTCCCATGTGCTGACTTTTGCTGCAGCATAGGCAAGGCAACAGCTTTTGGAGGTTACTGTCAGTCAGGAGGAAACTGAAATCTGTTCCAGGCTCATGTTCAGTTGGTTTCTTATCTCTGTAACCAAGACAAACAATGCCATAAGCTTGAACAGGAACTAGGACTACTGTGCTTCCATCTGTTACTAGCAGGGATAGAACAGTCTTTATTCCATGACTAGCAGGGTTTTGACTCCTTCCCTTCCCTGCATCATGGGCTATATGTATTAGATTTCTTAGTAAAGTTCGTATGACTAATAACAGGAACAGGACTTCCCTGGTCCTAGAATTCAACAAATTAGGGTCAAAGTGGCATCCCCCAGTAACACAGCACAGCCTGACTACTGGAGATGTCCCGTGAATAGTAGCTACAGTTCAGGAAATAAGCAGCAATGGATGCAGTGCCACAGCACTGCCTGGGATAAGTTGGACTTCCCTCACAGTGCTGGCATACTTCCTGCTCCCTTGGAGCATAAAGCAGTATTTGTATTTTCCCCCAAAAGAAATGGAGGCAAGGGATTAAGGAACTTCTAACTTGGAGGACACACACTCAGTGCCAGGAGTCTAATAGCAGTCTGTTTTCCTTTCTAGCTGAAGGAGGAGATTCATTCAGTCAAATTCAAATGAAGCATTTACCTCAAAAACAGCTGTGCTCCTGTTACTCCTTGCCAGGTGTCTTTGTCTCCTTCCACTAACTGCATCGCACCTTCCTGCAACCCCTTAGATAGGTGGAAACGTTTTAATATTATTTGCAAGCTATTTGGAAGGCCAGAATGCTTGTCATGAGCCAGCCAATGTTTGAAGTGTAGCTTTTCATGACTACAAACAATTACAAGATTTTCTCAATCGCCAGTTTCTAACAAAGATGCCAGGACAAAATAGGTGAGTTGCCTTGTTTTAGAAGTTAGTTTTCTTGTGCGCTTAGTTTAGTTTTGCATTTTAAAGAAGGCTATACAACCCCTTTCAGGAGGAAAAGGGGAGGAAAAAAAAAGGGAGGGGGGGAGAAAAGGAAAATGTGTTTGTTCCCAAATTCCACTACTCTCTCTTTGGTTCTCGTGTAATCTGCCAAGTGACAGCCAGCTGGGTTTGTTAGTGGACAAACTTTATACTTCAAGCTCAGAGTGGGCACAGGGACAGGAAGTTCCCAAGGGAGGGAGGGACCCCAAGTTCCTCCTCACTCAGACATACTGCAATTATACACACACTACTGTGAATAGGCAAATACATCACCAGCCACCCACGATGATTAAAACAGAAGTATGAATGTATAGGAAGGGGATGTATCCTACCATCTACATGCACACCACCCTCAACTCGCATGTGCTTTATGGCAGCACCAATTTGTCAAGCCACTGGCCTAGTTAATGTTTTAACAACAGGACTCCAGGCATTTAACATGCAGTATGCATTTAATTTGTTCTAATCCATTTTCTACAGGTGATGAAAATCCAGTGTTGAAACTGTTAGCAAGAATGTAATCAGTCTTCCACACCACAGTTCTGTCAGGCTTGTCAGGTAGGGGAGCCCACACTGAAAGCTAGCAAGGAAGCATTTGAAGTGTTGAGGGCTACAGCTGTGAGCTCCTTGACTGGGAGCTACTACTCACCAGAACCAGAGGGGTGTTTGGTTCTTCATGATACTGGTGAATTCTTTCTTCTCTTGTCTCCTGCAACAGGAAGATTTAATGAGTACAGATTTAGCTGCCCAGGCAGTAAATTAGGCCTTGGAGCCACCCAAGTACCCTGACACTGAGCAGCTTCACAATGTTAAACAAAGCAGGCACTTCCTCCTCAAGCAGAATGCTTTGTTTGATGAGACTAACGCACTGAAGGAAGCGGCAGTATTGACTGTAGCGCATCCATTGACTTTACCCTGCATCACTAGCAACTGCTGCAAACTGAACAAACAGAACCCACACAATCCTAACCCTGAAAAGCCCTGAAAACTCACTTCCATTCAATTCATCCAGCGTTTTTTTTTAAACGCCACCTCTATGCACTCGCCCTCAGAACAACAGCACTGAAGGAGGTGGCGGAAGCAGGATTCCTAAGATGCGCTCTTCATGAAAGAGGGTGTTGAGCCATGGATTTGCACTGACTAAATATCTGCTTGTTTGTCCTCAAGTAGGAACTACACTGGAGAATTTCCTTCTGCTAACAGATCTGCCGTATTTCTCGAGAGTTACTGCTGCTGAACTGAGCGACAGAAGTTAAAGAAATCGAACCAGACGGATTTGTTGGTAAGGAAACAGAGGAACACAGCAGGCACTTGGTACAGCGCAGAGCTTACCCCCTCCTCTCAGGGAAACAGCAAGAGTTATTCATAGGGAGAGGAGTTTATAGGGAGAGGAATTTTTGCTTATCTGGAGACAAGCAAGCTGATTAAGTGAGCATCTACAACTTCTAAAGTCTAGAAGCACATCCTGATCCTCTATCTCTTCTTTTGTACTCTTATTCTAAATACTTCTGCTAGCCCTAGAAAAAAAACTTTTATTATAAGGAAGAAAGTAGTTGGGCTGTTACAAGACATGCACTGCAGAAATTGTGCCCCCAGGAACTGACTCCAAACTTGGGCTATTCAAGCATTAATTTCTCCTTACAGTGGAGGCGTCCATCTTTGCGCTTGATTGTTAGCGTTTTACTTTCCGCTATGCTAGTTAAACTTGCTTGATCAGTACTGCAGTGCCAGACAGTACTGTAGATTACTAGGCATGCTCTCTGCAGGGATACTAGTGTTAGGTATTTTTTACATGGCAGCTTTGCATGCAATTGCAGACTCTCCCTGCTCTGATAGTTCCTCCAGATCTTTTTAAGTCTCTTGAGGTATGTTTAAATCCAGTCTTCTAGATAGAGTAGCAGACCAACAAGCAAGACAACCTATGGCAGAACTTCGCGGAAACACATTGCATTGTATTGTGCGTTAAGGTTTGAAGCTTACCCCTTAGTTTTTCTCCAATCCCTTGCCAGGTATGAAGCAACAGTATTTCAGACATTGCAAAGTTTCCGTTTGTGAAAAACACGTTGTTCTAACCCAGTAATACTGTTGCCAACTCATCACTCAAAGAAGAGCTTGGGGAGGCAGTAAAACATTATATTGCCTCCCTGGGATTTCCAACTGCACTAGGAAGCAGCTGTTAAACATGTTACAGCTTTGTAAAGCCTGGGAAATGCATGCTATCATTACACCTTTGCATCCTGGTTACTGTATTAACTCTGGTATGCTTTACTTAAGCCCATTTGAGTGCTTTTAAGATCTGGATCCAGGTAGTGGGGGCTGATGTTAAAAGGAACGAAACCTAGGGCCTGGAGGGAAGGTGGATAAACAATGGGCGTGTCGTTGGTTGTGCTGGTGGTAGCAACACTGGATCCCATGTAAGAAATTCCATCCCGAAAGACAAAAGTAGCAATGTAGCATGTAACATCACCACTGAAGACGGTGTTTTACAGCACCTTCTATCAGTCTCAGAGATCCAACAGTCAGATCAGGCTTAGTCCTTCTAGCTCATTTTGGTTCTAAATTTATTGGTGAAAGGGTAAGAAACAGAAGAGCAAGAGCTCAGGATCTGAGGTGGGCTAGAGGTTTCAGGACATGTACAAGTCTAGTTTGTGCATGTCACAGTTGTCAGAGGACCAACTGCTGGATGTCCTGTGTTCCCAGCTCCGTGACCCCCAACACAAGAGAGAACGTTTAAGGTGGTCACTGAAGACACTGGACTTTGCTATTAGGAGAGGAGGGACTTGCCTACATTGCAGTTACAGGAAATACCTCAACTAGCTATAAACTAGCTCCTTAGGAGAGTAGATTAGCTGAAGCTAAGCACTGCGCTGCCACAGCATCGGCTTAATGGTACTGTGACTAGAGTTAGTTCAGGTTTGAACTATGCTGTACAGTGTGTACCCAAAGAGTGCTGAGGTCCAGTTAATGCATCAGCCCTGCATTAGCGCAGTCTTTATCGCATCTGTGGCCTTTTGAACTCTTAGACTTGGGACACCATTTCACCTAGACCTGAAATCATCTTCGATGGGAGCTCTGGATTTAATTCTCTTGATGGGAAAGAGCCAGAATAGTTGCAAGCACCCTTAGACAGCAGCCTTTTCTGAGAAGTGCTTTTGCTCTGTGTAAAATAGAGCACTGGAAGGTCTTTGTGAATTCTACCTTGTAGGGTTTCCAGAATGAGTTGCTGAAGGCAAGGGGAAGCTGCAGTAGTTTGGGAAGGAGTCGATCTGCATCATCTTTAAGCAATGACAGTTTCCCCATCTCACCAGCCAAAGCAGATTATTCAAGGTTTCAAGGGGGAGCAAGGTGGCCTTGATACCTCGTGTACGTTTGAGAGCTTTCCTACTAGCTACATTCCAGAGAACTTTAAAACCATAGGATATGATCTCTACTCTTACCTGCCTCTTGCACTGGCACTGTCTGTGGATTACACTAGCGAGTCCTGTGGCGTTCTCGAGGTGTCTCCCTGGCAATCCAAGATGAAAGTCTCCTTGTGTGGAGCAGAAGCCACATATCTTAAACAGCAATTATATGTCTCAAGTATATAAGAAACTGTGCAGTATGGCAGATCCTCTACTAGTCAGAGAACTGGCTAGGTAACTAATTTTTGCGCAGCTGAAGATAGCTACTTACTGGTCTTCATATCATCAATGAATTGTTGCCTTGAGGTTTTCCAAGAGTCCTCATCTTAGTGCATGAGCTGTTTCAGTTTTTCCTCTTTCAGCTGAGATTCATACATGGAAAGATCCCACGCAAACATGCAAGTATCTGGATGCTGCTGAACAATTTGTAAAAATAGGCTATCTTGAGAGAATTGATGCTAATATAATCAAATAGCTATCCAGACTTTGGAGAGGGTTTTTTTTTTGTGTGCAAGGTGCATTGACTGTCTCTATATTAAGACAGCCTAGCTGACCTTCCTTCTTGGCAGCTGGCCTTTTCAAACATATTGTGGCTTGCATAAATCTGCCTGAAATTATATAGCACTTGCCCAGTTGTACGTTGCTGCGTGAGCACCTTGCTTCTATTCTCTTCCATGGGTGGTGGTGCTTCTCTTTCCTTAATGAGATCCAACAAGCCAGAATGGGCTGCTGCCTTGAAGGGCTCAATGGCACTTATTCTTCGCAACTCCAGTCAAGGAGGTACCTAAAGTAAATATACCATTTTCTCACTTACTGTACTAAGTGGCACATATGTATGCCAGTCTATTTTTGGTTTATTAGCAGACAACCTGTAGCTTGAATACAAAGTGGGCAACACAAAGGAGGCATCTCAACCTGCAAAATACGGGTTCTGGACACAGGTCGAATCCTGCACTGCTCCAAAGTGGTATTTCAAATTGAGGGGCTTGTTTCTAAGATACTAAACATCATTGTACTTCCCAAGGTGTTGCAGTCCCATGTCCGGGAACCTGCTCTAGAAGGACAGTTTGGAGCCTGGCAAGACAAGAGCAGCAAAGACTAAATGACAGCCTACTCTGGCCCCAGACTTCTGTGCACCACCCTGCAAGGGCGGTCTCAGTGTTTCAAGTACGTTAGAGACCAAGATGTAGGATGAGCTTGGGTGTGTCTCAACAAAAACTTCTGCACAAGATCCTGCCCTTCTCATTTGGCCTCAGTTGTGCAGTTGTTACCTCCTGCAGAAAAAAGAATCCAGCTTATTTAACATGCTTTTACCATCTACTTTTAATGAAGCCCTTACAAACTTGCCACACTCAACGTTTCCTATACTCTATTCAGGGTTGTAACCTACTTTGAACAGCAATAAAGCCAGAAGCTTCAGAAGAATGCCGATTTGGCTGGCCACGGGCTCGTGCCCTGAGTCACGCTTGCAGCACTGACATTGGCTGTTTGGCAGGAGATATTGCTTTAATGCCCTAGCATGTGATACTAGGACTATGCTCAGTTTGAGCACAGTAGGCCTGAATCCCTTAGACCAGATAAAGTGATAGATTCAGCTTCAAGAATCGTGCTTTTACCTCTGAAGTGCTGTTAAAATGAATAATTTGAAACTCACTGGAGAAACGGTGCCATTGATAGATCTCACCTATTTCCTTCTTGACTTACCGTTCCTCAGGGTAACGGAAGTACTGTTTTTTATAGCTTCTAATAACTGCTAGGCCTGACTCCTTCATTCTTGTCTCTGCAGTGCAAGCTTTGAGCAAGACTAAGCCAGTGCCCTGCGTAAGCTCTCATCAAGCAAGTAAAGCTTACCTATAAACATTGCTTCAGATTTCCTTACAGCTTCCACTGGATCACAAGATTCATGAATGCTGTCCAGCCCATAACCTTAAATGAAAAAATATTTACTTTTGCCAGTTTGGCTTAGAGGAGGGTTTGTCTGCGTTCTCCTTCCCCCCGGCTCCCTGCCACGTACGTGTCTTACAAGACAGCCGGGGAAACTCTACCGCGTATAACGCCGTACCACGCGCAGTCCTGCGCTGGTGCAGGGGCCTGTATCCGGCTGTGCCCAAGCACGCGTTCGCTTTATGGATGTGTTTGCTCAGCGTCTAAAAGAGCAGAGGATTGCCCTGAGCAGGTGCAGGCGGAGCGTTACCACCGAGCGAGAAAATTAGCGGTGGGAAGAAGCTGTCGGTCTTCAGTCTGGCAGAGAGTCGGGGCAGGCTGCGCCAGCGTTGCTCTAGCACGCGTAGTATTAACAACTGGTCTGAAAAACAGTTTTTATGAAGATTAAGAGGGTCAGCTTTTAAAATTTTCCCTTGCAGGGAGTCAGCAGAGTAGAGGAAGTGCCCGGAGGCCCAAAAGAAGAGGGACGTGTGGCAGCAGCCATCCCTCCGCCGGCGAAGGAGCCAAGCGCGCTGCCGGAGGAAGCCAACAGCGGATTATCGCTACAGTAAGGGTCCGAAGTTCCCGGGGGTGGTCAGGGGCAGCAGGCGGGGGCGTCGCCGCGGGCCGCCCCGCCAGGAGCGTTGCTGTTCACC